AACCTATGACTCTTAATTAGTGAATAAACAATAATAAGTAAACTTTTGACTCTCAATTAGTGAACAGACAATAATAAGTAAACATTAGACTCTTAATTAGTGAACAGACAATAATAAGTAAACTTTAGACTCTTAATTAGTGAATAAACAATAATAAGTAAACCTATGACTCTTAATTAGTGAATAAACAATAATAAGTAAACTTTAGACTCTCAATTAGTGAACACACAATAATAAGTAAACATTAGACTCTTAATTACTGAACAGACAATAATAAGTAAACTTTAGACTCTTAATTAGTGAATAAACAATAATAAGTAAACCTATGACACTTAATTAGTGAACAGACAATAATAAGTAAATTTTAGACTCTTAATTACTGAACAAATCGGTTTTCGTTTCTCTTCGTTCGCTTCGTTAGTGTCCAGACCACTACACAGATTTGTTTTCTTCACATTCATTTCTTTAGTGTTCAGACCACAACACAGACTTCTTTTCTCCTCATTCACTTCGTTAGTGTCCAGATCACTACACATATTTCTTTTCTTCACATTCACTTCGTTAGTGTCCAGATCACTATACATATTTCTTTCTTCACATTCACTTCGTTAGTGTCCAGATCACTACACAATTTCTTTTCTTCACATTCACTGCGTTAGTGTCCAGATCACTATACAGATTTCTTTTCTTCACATTCACTGCGTTGGTGTCCAGATCACTTCACAGATTTCTTTTCTTCACATTCATTTCTTTAGTGATCTGGACACTAACGAAGTGAAACGAAACAGATCCCGGGCGTGATCTGGACACTAACGAAATAAATGTGTCCAGATCACGTCACAGATTTCTTTTCTCCACATTCATTTCGTTAGTGTCCAGATCACATCACAGATCTGTTTTCATTTCTCCTTATTATATTAATTTCTTGAGTGTCCAGACCACGTTATAGATCTGGTTTCTTTTCTTTATATATTAGTGCACGATTGTTGGTTTGTTTCTGTTTATTGAGATGTTTTTGTGTTCACGTAAAATTGTTCTTTAAGGCTTGAACAATAAATAAATCACTTTATGTGATTAACAGTCTTTGGGACAGCTTTGTAAGAGTGAAATACCATATACTATTTGTACTTTAACACCTGTCCAGATAAATATTTAACAAAAACAAGTTATCGAAACACATTGAAAGTTAAGTTATCATATAAGACAAAACTTAAAATGATAAGCAATTTTTGTTCCAGAAAGAAGTAAAGCGACATCAAACAGTCTCTCCAGCCCTGACCTGACCCCTGAAAATGAAGTCCCGATTATGACCATTGGCCCAGGAGGAATCAGGAGAGGTGCTGGACAGGTGTTTTCACCAAGAATGAAACTGGATCAAGGCAAGTAGATATCCCCAAATTGTTGTGACACTTTGGTTGTTTTGAAATAAGTATAGATAACTCTCTAATAAATCTAAAATAGATATCATTAACTGTGTAATTGTGAGGTAAACACTGCTAACTCTTTAGTAGTTGTAAAAGTTTTAACTCTGAAATAATTGTGAAGTAAATCTTATTCACTCTTTAATAATTGTATGATAAACGTTATTAACTTTCTCATAGTGATCGAGTAAAAGTTGTTAGCTTCATCAGATGTAAAGTAACTATTGTGAACTAGTTAATTGTTAAGTAACTGTTGTAAACTAGTTAATTGTTAAGTAACTATTGTGAACTAGTTAATTGTTAAGTAACTGTTGTAAACTAGTTAATTGTTAAGTAACTGTTGTAAACTAGTTAACTGTTAAGTAACTATTATGAACTATTTAATTGTTAAGTAACTATTATGAACTAGTTAATTGTTAACTAACTGTTGTGAACTAGTTAATTGTTAAGTAACTGTTGTAAACTAGTTAATTGTTAAGTAACTATTGTGAACTAGTTAATTGTTAAGTAACTGTTGTAAACTAATTAATTGTTAAGTAACTATTGTGAACTAGTTAATTGTTAAGTAACTGTTGTGAACTAGTTAATTGTTAAGTAACTGTTGTGAACTAGTTAATTGTTAAGTAACTGTTGTGAACTAGTTAATTGTTAAGTAACTATTATGAACTAGTTAATTGTTAAGTAACTGTTGTGAACTATTTAATTGTTAAGTAACTGTTGTGAAATCGTTAATTGTTACGTAATTATTGTGAACTCGTTAATTGTTAAGTAACTATTATGAACTAGTTAATTGTTAAGTAACTATTATGAACTATTTAATTGTTAAGTTATTATTATGAACTAGTTAATTATCAAGTAACTTTTATGAACTAGTTAATTGTTAAGTAACTGTTGTGAACTAGTTAATTGTTAAGTAATTATTATGAACTAGTTAATTATCAAGTAACTTTTATGAACTAGTTAATTGTTAAGTAACTATTATGAACTAGTTAATTATCAAGTAACTATTATGAACTATTATTATAGATGTTACAACATTTGTTATAGACGTTACAACATTTATTATAGATGTTACATCATTTATTATAGATGTTACAACATCTACTATAGAAGTTACAACAATTATTATAGATATTACAACATCTACTATGGATGTTACATAATTTGTTACAGATGTTACAACGTATACTGTGTAGTAGATTTCCAGAGTTACATATTCTATATTATTCATTAGTATAACATTTATTTTGATGTTATTAAATAGTTAATAATATTTACTTTACGGTTATTAAAGTTGACAAATGAGCTTTATATTCCTGTGTTTATTGTGAAGTGCAAGGCTCCACAGTGTACTTTATATTCCTGTGTTTATTGTGAAGTGCAAGGCTCCACAACAAGTTTTATATTCCTTTAAGAACAATAAAATACTGTTTTTAAATATATTTTGAATGTTATGATTGTTTGCAACGGAGGTATGTAAATGTTTTGTAAGAAATTGTCATGAAAATTAAACAAATAAATGAAACTCAGAAATAATGTAATGTACAAAGTAACTTATAAGTTTGTGAAGAAAATCCAGTAAAACCAACTGTATAGAAATACTTCGTCATTGTTAAGTAAATCAAAAGCTAGAACCTGTGATGACCAGAATGTATTGAATGACCAGCTTAGTGCTATCATTGTTAACCGAGTCAGAAAGGTATTGTTCTTTGAAAACAATGAGGAAAATGTTTTTTTGAACAGTCAGAGGTTATCGTTGTTTGGAATGACGTCATACAGGTTTGTTTTCGTGGCACACAACCATAAGCATGACTGTTTGGAAAAGAATCGGAAAAGAATGTGAAATTGGAACTGAAATATTTGTATTTCCCGCTTCTTTAGGAAGTACGTTTAGCTCTGCAAGAACAGGTATTGTTTCTCTTAACCGAAAGAAAAATTTGTCACACATCATCTCCATATATTTCACTCTCATGCATGCTGTACAGTGTGAAAAACAGCAAACAGTTGAATTGTTACACTAAGTATATGATTTTTTTTTATTTCAGTAGAGACACTAGGAGAAATAAAACTGGGATTTTTGTTGACCAAGGGTCAGTTAGAAGTAGAGGTTTTCTGTGCATGCCAGTTGCCACCCTCATCTTTAGGTCAGCCACCAGGTAATGTCATTATTGGTCAGTTTTGAGGTGTTAACGCAACATGTTAACTCTCATACAACAACATTACAATATAGTATTTGAGCAGCGTCATGAAATATGACATATTATAATGTGCCAGTCTTACTGTAGTAACTTCAAATGTCAACCCTCCCATTATATAGCCTTATTAATAGCTTTTGACTAGCTGATGTGGAATAGTATTGTGAATATTGGAAGTGATTGGGTTCCCATATAATTGTGCTCCCTATAACTGTGGTATACTTATGTGAAAGGTTATTTATATATCTTTGGTATTCCGTATCACTGTGGTATACTTGCGTGAAAGGTTCTTTATGTATCTTTGGTACTCTGTATAACTGTGGTATACTTATGTGAAAGGTTCTTTATGTATCTTTGGTACTCCGTATAACTGTGGTATACTTATGTGAAAGGTTCTTTATGTATCTTTGGTACTCAGTATAACTGTGGTATACTTGTGTGAAAGGTTCTTTATGTATCTTTGGTACTCAGTATAACTGTGGTATACTTGTGTGAAAGGTTCTTTATGTATCTTTGGTACTCCGAATGACTGTGGTATACTTGCGTGAGAGGTTCTTTATGTATCTTTGGTACTCAGTATAACTGTAGTATACTTGTGTGAAAGGTTCTTTATGTATCTTTGGTACTCAGTATAACTGTAGTATACTTGTGTGAAAGGTTCTTTATATATCTTTGGTACTCCGTATAACTGGGGTATACTTACGTGAAAGGTTCTTTATGTATCTTTGGTACTCCGTATAACTGTGGTATATTTGCGTGAAAGGTTCTTTATATATCTTTGGTACTCCGTATAACTGTGGTATACTTGTGTGAAAGGTTCTTTATATATCTTTGGTACTCCGTATAACTGTGGTATACTTGTGTGAAAGGTTCTTTATATATCTTTGGTACTCCATATAACTGGGGTATACTTGTGTGAAAGGTTCTTTATGTATCTTTGGTACTCACATTTAATATCCACGAAACATTTCACACCTATTATCCCATACATAATACAGCAACTCGTGGGTTCTCTTCTCACTTACAAATTCACGGTAGAACCCATCAATATCCGGGTTGGTCGTGCTAATAAGGCCATCTATAGTCATCTAAAATCACTTAGATTAAGATATGAAAGTGTATTTAAAGGGTATTTATGTAAAATATGCGTCTCACAACTTAATCATGTGAGAATTTTTAAACGGAACTGTTTCTGTACATTATATTTGTAAAACTAGTACCATCATAAACATGATTATTTGATTGGATGTACTTGTACTCTGAATATTGTGTATGATTATGTTTAACGGTTGAGATGACTAAAGATGTGTCTGTTTTACAAAGGACACGTTGTTTGTTTTCCTATACATTAGATATGTAAGTAGAAATAACGTCTACCAAGAGGTTTATTTGTTTGTTGAATTTGGCATTTATTTTCAGATACGCTCATCAAAACTTATTCTGAGTGATGTGAATGCAATTAAAGCACGTGACAGTATAGAATACAGTATGATACATTTATTTTCAGATACGTACATCAAAACGTATCTTAAAGAGGGAGAAAAACAGATACAGAAACGCAAGACTCGAGTAATCCGCTCTACGACTAGTCCACAGTATCGACAGACGTTAAAATACAACATGTCGGACATCCAAGGCCGCCATCTATTGGTAAGTTCCCTAAACGTTCCGTGATAACAATATTACAAAGTTTTCCAGAATGTTGTAGATTAATGATTAAAAGTTATCATTACATCACGTATTACCTACCATTAAGGTTTGCATTTGTGTTCATAAATTCAGTCAGCTTTCTTTCAGAAATAATTAGCGCTCCGAGTAAAAGTACTGATACTGTTTAAGATATATCTGGATTAGAGTTGGGCCTACCTCATCCCTCATTACTTCTGATAAAGTAATATAGGGACAACAAGAGACCGTGTAAACCTCCCTTTTTGGGTCTGAAATTCATTGCTTCCCCCTCTTCAACTCCTGTAAAGTACTGGTTTTTCTACTTCTGTTGACTGAAACTCATTTTCTAAACCAATCATCTTGTTGAAGAAATATAAGTGCCTAGCCTGCCTTTTTATATCTTAAGCTTGCGTCCTCTCTTCAGAAGCCTTTATCCTAGCGATAACCCGGATAATCCTGTAAACTTTAATTAGATCATCTCTAACTCTTCTTAAGAGATGTAAGATAACCCTTCCACCCCGGTATCATCCTAGGAACTCTCCTCTGAACCCTTTCCAATAAGTCAATATTCCAAGTGAGGCCTAGCCAGTAATACGTATAGGGAAGTAATTCGTGTTTTTAGCTTTACTTTTAGCAACAGAACACTGTCTTAATTACTTGAGTGACTTACCAAACACTATCCTTTTTATTCAGTCCCGCTACGAAGTGGGTTCTTATTTATATTAAACACGTCATCTTGCACCTATGATTAAAGGACATTTGCCAGATATGGGTCCGATGACCCAAAAGGTTGTTTAACACCTATATGTCATTATAAACATAACATATAATAAAGAAATTAATTATTATATTCAGATTTTTTGGGCAATCTCACGTCAGTCAGTGTTCATTGGGGGGGGGGGGGGATACAATTCAAATATAGTGCCTTCGGTTGCCGAAGAGGGCCAGGAGTACCGAATCCGATGTCATATTTGGGTTTAGCGACCCTTAAGCCTATTCCGAGTCTCCAATTATGTCTGGGTGACCTTTAGGGCGCATTTTAGCCCTCCTTGGAGGGGCTATGCCTTATATATAATTATACCTCAAGAGATAACCTAAGTTAGTCTGCCAAGTTTGGTCCTGCTAGCTCCAAAATCCTGTGAAGTGTTCGCGGATAAACAAACATACAACGTAAATTGATGTAGGATGTTAAACTGTGGCAGTTTTTGATAGGAACAAGCTGACATGGCGTAACAGGATCGTAACAGCGTCATATGATGTGTAGAAAAACATGATTGTAAAAGGTTCATATGATGTGTAGAAAAAGAGGATTGTAAAAGGTTCATATGATGTGTAGAAAAACAGGATTGTAAAAGGTTCATATGATGTGTAGAAAAACAGGATTGTAAAAGGTTCATATGATGTGTAGAAAAACAGGATTATAACCTGTTTATATGATATGTTTGAAAACGGGGTCGAAAATAAAACATTGATATGGGTATAAAAAACAGGATTATAACTGGTTTATATGATGTACAAAACGACAGGATTGTAGAAGGTTTATATAATGTGTAGAAAAACAAAACTAACATGTTTATATATTGGGTAAAAACAGAAATGTTAACATGTTTATATATTGGGTAAAAACAGAAATGTTAACATGTTAGCATTTTGGGTAAAAACAGAAATGTTAACATGTTTATATATTGAGTAAAAACAGAAATTTTAACATGTTAGCATTTTGGGTAAAAACAGAAATATTAACATGTTTATATATTGGGTGAAAACAGAAATGTTAACATGTTTATATATTGGGTAAAAACAGAAATTTTAACATGTTAGCATTTTGGTTAAAACAGAAATTTTAACATGTTAGCATTTTGGTAAAAACCGAAATTTTAACATGTTAGCATTTTGGGTAAAACAGAAATTTTAACATGTTAGTATATTAGGTAAAAACATCTATGCATCAGATAAAATATAGAATTACAACAACTTTATAACATAGCTCAGAAATACCTGATTCGAACAGGTTTATACTGTTTTTGCAAGCCCGTAGCCAGGGGAGGAGGTGTCCGGAGGTGCGAACGAAACCCCCCCACTCCCACTGAAGTTTCGCTCCCCCATTAACATTTATTATTCCCTTCCTTTGATGATGGCTTCTCATTACATAGTTGTTTTTGTAACACTGTTCATACATGTGGAAATAGCATCAGAGGTAATTTACTAGAATTTTTTTTTGCTTTGATAATAAAAGAACCATTACATATTTCTTTGTTGTTGTTTTTTGTCCCTGAGTGTCCCCCGGTAGTACAGCGGTAAGTCTTCGGATTTACAACGCTAAAATCAGGGGTTCGATTCTCCTCGGTGGACACAGCAGATAGCCTGATGTGGCTTTGCTATAAGAAAACACACTCGTCTCTGGGCACTAAAGTTACACATGAAACAAGTTCCACCTGGCTACGAGCTTCGTTTTAAAACAGTAAAGAATGCCTCCCTTTATACTCCCGAAGAAGAATAGTCAACTTTTCGAAAGCGCTCGAGTTTTGGGTCTTATTTTAAGTCTATTACACTCTATAGTCTCAGTATTTAATTTTCATGAAGTCGACTTCAGGACTTAATAGTCACCAAATTATGTTGAATAAAAAGAGTGTGTGTGCACTGTTTAAATATTAGATCTTTATTTCCTCAGGTTATGGTATGGGAACGACAAAAAGGTTTCGATCACAACCAGCCTATTGGAGCTGTGGAGATCGAACTGGGTCGCTTAGATTTGTCAAGATCTATGACTTGTTGGTACCCTCTTTATCCTCTTGCTAGCCGACAAATTGGCTCTGTTGTGTCACCTTGACAGCCTTCAGCAGCTCCTATTGTTGTAGGGAAGATGGAAAGTTTAGTGTTGTAAATGAATAAATATTGTTGTATAACTGTGTTGAATATTACGATAGCAGACGAACAGTTGAATATTACGATAGCAGACGAACAGTTGAATATTACGATAGCAGACGAACAGTTGAATACTGCGATAGCAGACGAACAGTTGAATACTAAGATAGCAGACGAACAGTTGAATATTACGATAGCAGACGAACAGTTGAATATTACGATAGCAGACGAACAGTTGAATATTACGATAGCAGACGAACAGTTGAATATTACGATAGC